GTAAGGAGGAGCGGGGGGGCGCTCCTGGCCACGGCAAGCCTGGGCCACCACTGGCGGCCCCGACCTGGATCTCGGGGAGGAGGAGGAGAAGGAGGAGAAGCAGGAGGAGAAGCAGGAGGAGGAGAGGGAGGAGGAGGAGGCGGAAAAGGAAAAGGAGGAGGAGGAGGAGGAGGAGCAGAAGGAGGAAGAAGAGGGGGAGGAGGAGGAACAGGAGGAGGACGAGGGGGAGGAGGAGGAGGAGGAGGAGGAGGAGGAGGAGGAGGAGAAACAGGAATAATAACAGGAACAGGAACAGGAGCAGGCACAGGAGGATGAGGAGAAGGAGGAGGAGGAGGAACATAAAGAGGAGGAGGAGGAGGAGATGAGGAGGAGAAGGAGGAGAGGAGGAGGAGGAGGAGGAGGAAGATGAGGAGCATAAGCAGGAACAGTATGACGACGATGCTGCTGATGATGACGATGATGATGCTGATGATGATGATGCTGGTGATGCTGATGATGATGAGGATGATGATGAGGATGCTGATGATGATGATGATGATGAGGAGGAGGAGGAGGAGGACCAACGGAAACAGGAACAGGAACAGGAGGATGAAGAGGATATGGAGGAGGAGGAGGAGGAAGAAGAAGAGGGGGAGGAGGAGGAGGAGGAGGAAGAGGAGGAGGAAGAGGAGGGAGAGGAGAAGGAGGATGAGGAGAAGGGTGAGGAGGGGGAGGAGGAAGATGAGGAGGAGGAAGCGGAGGAGACGGAGGAGGAGGAAGACAAGGATGATAACGATGATGGTGATGGTGATGATCAGGGTGATGATGATGATGCTGCGAATGGTGATGATGATGATGATGCTGATGATGATGATGACGATGATGATGATGATGATGATGAAAATGATGATGATGATGCTGCTGCTGATGATGATGATGATGATGCTGATGATGATGATGATGATGATGATGATGATGATGATGATGATGATGATGATGATGATGATGATGATGATGATGATGATGATGATGTGATGATGATGATGATGATGATGATGATGATGATGAGGATGATGGATGGGGGGGAGGAGGAGGAGGAGGAGGAGGAGGAGGAGGAGGAGGAGGAGGAGGAGGAGGAGAGGAGGAGGGGAGGAGGAGGAAGAGGAGGAGGAGGAAGGAGGAGGAGGAGGAGGAGGAAGAACAGGAGGAGGAGGACGAGGAGGAGGAAGGAAGAAGGAGGAGGAGGGGGAGGAGGAGGAAGGAAGAAGGAGGAGGAGGGGAGGGGGAGGAAATGGAAGCGGATGAGGAGGAGGAGGAGGGGCAGGAGGAGGGGGAGGAGGAGGACGAGGAGGAGGAGGAAGTGGAGACGAGGAGGAGGAGGAAGTGGAGGAGGACGAGGGGGAAGAGGAGGAGGGGGAGGAGGAGGACGAGGAGGAGGACGAGGGGGAAGAGGAGGAGGAGGAGGAGGAGGAGGAGGAGAAGGAAAAGGAATAATATGGTGATGAGCAGAAGGATTTTCCAAGGGACTTTCCCAATCAGACGGTGGCTGGACGGATGGGGCTCTCTGGGGGACTTGTTTTGAGTGGCCTCCCTTGAAACACGCGAGACATAACCCAACTCCCGATTTTAGAAGAGGTGAGCTAGCTTCCGAGAGGCCTCTGAGGTGTCCCCTCCCTTCCAAAGCCCGACAACCACACTTGATGCAGATCCAGTACGGCCCGTAGAAGGCGAGCTCATGGGATGCATGGCCGCCTCTGGTCCCCAAGGCAAGCTGGGTGTGGCGCGGCTGATTGGAAGGCCGGCCTGGGCACTCTCGGGAAATCCATTCGCTCATGACTTGTTTACATGCTATGTTGCTGACCGAGCTGCGGCAATCAATGAGGAGGAAGAGGAGGAGGAGGAGGAGGAGGAGGAGGAGGAGGAGCAAGAGGGGGGTGAGGAGGAGGAGGAGGAGGAGGAGGAGGAGGAGGAGAGGAGGAGGAGGAGGAGGCGGGGTAGGAGGAGGAGGACGAGAAGGAGGAGAAGGAGGAATATGAAGATGATGATGTATAGGATGATGCGAATGAGGAGGAGGAGGAAGGAGGAGGAGGAGGAGGAGGAGGGAGGAGGAGGAGGAGGCGGGGAGGCGGGGGACGAGGAGAAGGAGGAGGAGGAGGAGAAGGAGGAGGAAGATGTGGATGAGGAGGCGGATGATGAGGAGGAGGAGAATGAGGGAGAGGATGAAGAGGATGAGGAAGATGAAAAGGAGGAGGAAAAGGAGGAGGCGGAGGAGACGGAGGAGGAGGAGTTGTGGAGGAGGAGGAGGAGGAGGAGGAGGGGGAGGAAGGGGAGGAGGAGGAGGAAGAGGATGCTGCTGCTTCTGCTGATGATGTTGTTGTTGATGATGGCGGTGATGGTGATGGTGATCGCACGTAGCTTCGCGCAACGCGTCCTTTGTCCCAGGCCATTAGCGAGCGACCCGGACTCCAAGGTGATCGTTGTAAAATGAATCAGAGGGCGATCCAGCCGACCGCACCCTCAGCTTGTGGTAAAGTTTGAAAGCCAGTGCGAAAAGGATAGCTGCGCGCTCCCGCGAGGTCTCCCCCGTGTACTAGTGTTCCTGACCGAGACCCAGACCCGCGATGACCGAGTTTGGGAGCAAGGAGCGAGGTTAGGGCAGGAGAGGCAATGTGAAATCGGATCCCCCGCCCCCCTCCCCTTTCCCCCTTTTGCACCCAAAAACGAACCACCCCCGCTGGCCCAGGATGTGCATTCTGCGGGTGGTGATCCACCCGCCCGGAAGGGTTTTGAGGACGGACCAAAAGACGGTCGGGCGCGTTTTCGCCAGGATCGCACGCAGCTCGGACCATCGAGGGGCCAGGGGCGGGGCCTGAATCGTCGGGAACCAGGCTCTCGCGCGCTTCTGCAGGGTCAGGCTCTCGGGTGGGCGGAGGGGGGCACGAGTGTAAACGGCTTGCCACTTCGGGCGTTTTTGAAGCATGTCGGCGAGGGCGGCTGCTTGATTGGCCTCGGCAGCCGCGGAGCGCTGGGGACCAGAGGGGGCATTCGGGAGCGCGACCGAAAAGAGACGGGCGCGCAGGAAATGCACGATGCTCTGGTCGCGCCAGGACGGCGGGGACCCAAGCTGCTGGACGTGGCGAACGACGGCGTTGCCCGACCACGAGACTTCAGACAGCTCGCCGTGTCAGGCTTGAAAGTTGGAAATCGCGGCGCGCGCCGTGCGCCAGCTGTTCGCCGCAGAGTAGGCGGCCCTCGACGTCGGGGCCGAGCGCGGCGCCCACGCGCGCAGCGACCAAACATCGGTGCCCGTCATCGAGCACGGCGGCAGCTTGAGGAGCTGGCGAATGCAGCGCGGCTCCTTCGCGAGCAACGTTTTTGGCGGCAAGTAAAACTACGCCGCGTAGCCTGGGGCGGGGAGAATCGCGACTTGGCACAGGCGGAGCGAGGAGCCAGGAGGAGAGTCGGAGGCCGAGGTCATCAGGATTCTCTCTCCCGCCACTTCTGCATGCACGCCGCCCATTGCTGGTCGTTAGCGGCGTCGGGGCCCAGAAAAAAACGCCAAGGTATTTGGCGGGGCCTGCGATGAGAAAGGATTGCCATTCCGGGGCCAGCTGGCGCAGCATCGCGCGCGCTGCGCTACATAGTCTGCGCACTGGGCCCACGAGGGGGCGATCGCGCATTTCAGGGGGCGAAGGCGAGGCGAGGCGAGGCGAGGCTCGAGGCCGAGGCGAAGGCGGGGCAGAGCGAGGAGAGGCGCGTGAACTTGGCCAGGACAGCGCCGAGATCATCTGCACATCAACCAATCGAGGCCTCGCGAGGGTCAGGTGGGAGCGCCGGCCCCAGCGAACGAGTGATGGGAGCGCCGGCCCCAGCGATGCCCCGCTGAGCGGGCATCCTTGCATGGCCCCCGAATTGATTGATCCTCGGCAGCGGGGCAACCTCGTCGCGAACGCGCGTCGAGGCCAGCGCAAGCGAATCAGAGGCCGCGAATCGCAGCGAGGTGCCCTGGCGGTAACCCCATGCGCGCGAGCACCGCGGACAGCCACGTGCGATTCATGCTTGGGAACGCTGCTTTGATGTCAAAGGCGACAAAGAGCGGGAGACGGCAGTCGGCCTGTCCATGCTATCCGACCGCTCACGCTCGCGCGCCTAGCTTGGTAATGTTCTGGCAAAAACTGCGACCGCGAGTGAACCCCCGTTGGGTTTCGTGGACCCTGATCTGCGCTAGCTTACTGAGCGGCGAGCGGCTAGTTAATGGCCGAGGCGAACGCCTTGGCGCTGCAGTTCTTCAAAGGGAGCGGTCTGGCCCCCGACGCGTCGCGAAGGCAGTCGAGAGCATCGCCTGGTTTGTCGCCCTCCTGCGGGAACACGAATATGGAATGATTGAAGGGGGGGGCCAGGAAGGGCGCTGAAGAGGCGAAGGAAGACGGGGTAGAGGGACTCCATGGTGGCAGGAACCGCCAGCAAAGCTTGATATGGAAGCCGATCCAGGCCAGGCGCTGACTTCCGACTCCGCTTGAACGATTGAGACAGGGCTGCGAGCGACGGGATTGGCAGGTGAGCGACTGGGAAATACGGTGAGACCCTGCTCAGAAAGGCGTCGATTTCGTCCCTGGAAACGCGTTTATCCGAGAAGATCGGGGCCCAGTGATGCCGGGGTGCGCGGGCCGCTTGCTCCGGCTCTCTGGCCACCGGGCGCAGATTGGCCCCGCCTCCGATGGCGCGCGGACGCTGCGCAATCTGATCGGCGGCGATGCCGCGCGAGGGAGGCGCTTTGAAAAAGGCGCTGGAAGCGCGGCGCGACGCTGCAGCGCGCGTCGAATACGCCGCTGCTCCTCCAGAGTCGGCTGGCCATTCGCGCGGGGCGCGCGGTGAGGCGCTGGGTGCTGCTCGCGCGCGTACCGCGCTTGGTTGTTGCGGACGACGGCGTTTCGAAACCCAATCGAATCGCGCAGCTGCGGGGGGGGGGGGGGGGGGGGGCGACGCGCCCGCGAATATCTGCCCACGCTCTGCGGTGGCAACTAAACGGCGGGCGGCAGGCAGATCGGCGCGCCAAGTCGCGCGGGCAATCGCCCTGAGCGCGAGGCGCCTGGTCTCCAGCGCGCGTCGCCTGCGCCGAGCGGGGGGCGCTGGAGCTCGTTGCGGGCGAGCTCGGCAGCCAGGGTCATGCTTTGCTCAGTGACGTCGCGTCGGCGAAGGTCCGCCATGGTGCCCAGCTCTGCCTCGCTGAGCATCTTCGCGAGGAAGGACTTGTACTGCTCGGGGCGAAAGACGAAGTCGGCGATCGGGCGCTGGCCCTTCTCTTGTGGCTGGCGAGTCTCGATCGCGAGCTTGGCGATGGCGTGGTCACTGAGGCGCCTGTCCTAGAGTGGCGACGAGTCCTGCGCGATGTTGAGCTCGCAGCGCAGGCGCGGGATGAAAGGGGGCAGGAATGGCAGCGAAGACCGATCGTGGTGCCCGCCTGGTGACGCTTTGAGGAATAAGTCGGGATGTCGGAGCTGGCGCCAGAAGCTCTGGTTCTGCCGGAAGCGGACCTCGACGGTCTGGCGGCGCTGGCCGGCCTGAGGGACGAGGTGCGACTGCGAGGGCTCGTCGGAGAAGTTGAAGTCACCCATGGCGAGGAACGCGAGGCGGGGCGGGGCGCTGTTGGACCGCTGCGCGTGGGTGGCCCGCTCGTCGCGGAGCTTGATCTTCTGGGCGTCGCTGAGGTCGTCGTTGTGCGCGTTGAGGGCGCGGATCTCGCGGTCGGCGCTGCGGTTGGTGATCGCGATGAGCTGTGGGCGGCCGTCGACGACGATGCGGGGCGCGACGACGGGCTTGAAGAAGGACGGGGAGCAGCCAGCAGCAGCATCTTTGCGAAGCTGTTCCCTTTCCGCACGCGCGAGACCAGGTGCGGGGGCGGCGAGGCCACCGGCGCCCCGAGTCTCGCAGCCCCGAAAGTTGCCGCGGTTGGAGGCCGAGGAGGGAGAGCGCGCCAGCATGGTCTCCAGCTCAGCCTGCGAGCCGTGGCACTCCTGGATGAGGACGAGGGCCCGCGGGCGCAGGGCGTTCTGCAGCTTCCGAAACTTGAGGCGGCATCGTCTGGGTTGGGGCAGTGAGGCCCACGCGCGTTCCAGGAGGCGATCTGCAGAGGCATTGTGCTCGGTGGCCTCCCACGGGGCCCAGTTGCTGTTGAGTGGGCCACGCCGAGGTGTCGATCGAGACGCAAGAGGCCTCGAATCTCTGCTTGACCATCTCCTCGTTGATGCCCATGGACGCGACCGCCGCGGGGCCCCGGTTGAGCTTGGAATGCTCGTGGAGGCCCTGCGGCTGGATCTCCACGATCGGCAATTGCGCCCGACTGTGCGATGCCCGACTGGGGCAGCGTCTTGAAGGTGACGTCAGGGTACTGCTCGCGCAGGATGCCCGCGACGCGCTTGGTCTGAAGCTCCTTGCGAACCTACATGGGCGACTTGTCGGCGGAGACGTAGAGCGGCGCGGCGGCGCCCTGGGCGTTGGGGGCCGAGAGCGCGCGCCATCTGCCACCGATAAGCTCAAGGGCGCGAGCGAGAGCGAGTGCGCGGGGCCGAGCGACTTCAGGTCCGCCACGAATGTGCACATGAAAGCGGCGAGCGGGGGCATCCTCGAGTAGTTGCACACGTTCGGCAGTGAGCTGGGCGTCCTGCATCCAGGGATCGAGGGCGCGACGTGCTTCAACAGGTTGGATGTTGCTCGGGGCGCCGATCTGGAAGAGGCACGGGTCCGGTTCGCGCTCGTAGTCCGCGAGGTTGGCGAGGTCGACGGAAGGGATTTGTTGCGCTTCTGCAAGAGAGACTGCTTGTTCGAGGCGGCGTGCGGCTTGGCCAAGATCTTCTTGCCGCGAGGCTTCTTCATCTTGGAGGCGGCGAATTTGTCGAAGGTCACGTTCTGCTTGTTCAATGCGGGCTTGCTGCGGGGCGTACTGCTGCTCGATGGTTGCGCGAAGATCATGTTGGACATTTTCCCAGGTCGTGTCGAAGAGGTTGCGGAGCTGTGAGGTGGACATGGTAAACTGCGCGTTGACCACGCTCTCACTGGCAGCAGAGAGTCCAGCTGGTGCAGAACCTCCAGGAAGCTGTGGAAGCTGTGGGGGAGGCCCTGGGAGAACAGCTGCTGGGCGTTGCTGTCGTGGTGGTCGCGGTTCCGCGGGTCGCTCGGCAGCGGCTGCTGCAGCGTGCTGTGGAAGAGCTGGATGCGGCGCAGCGTCTGCTCGAAGTTCTTGTGACGGAAACGTTGGGGCCACCTCGAGTTCGGCAGCGAGGCAAGCAGCGTCTTCCTGATCCATGGGGAGATCATGAGCGGCGCCTTGAAGAAGAGCAGATCCGGGGGCCTCACGGTCACGGGTTCCGCCGGATCCTGCAGATCGTCCCGGTCGCGAGGCACTGGTTGCTGTGGAGCGTCCCGATTGCCAAGGGTCTCGTCGTTGTAAAGGGTCACGTCTGTCTGAGCGATCACGGTCTCTGTCGCGGTCGTCGCGTCGTCGTTCACGTTCGCGTTTTTCCTCACGGCGTTTGGTTTGCCGAGCGCCGCTGCGTCGAGCACCGCCTCCTTCCGCCGATACCCCGCCACTTTTGGAGGCACGAGAACCTGTTGCAAGGGAACCGTCCGAGCTAGAAGATGACATAGTGACGGGTCGAAGAAGCACTGTTAACTGGCGGCGACGGCCTGTTGATAGGTGCTGAGATAGGCGGAGAAGAGCACGTAGGCGGCAACGAGAAGGATGGCGCTGGGCTGGGCCTGCAGCGAAAGCGGTGTGCCAGGGGCGCGAGGCTCAGTCCTGGGCTTTGATACGGAAGTGCCAGGGGCGCGAGGCTCAGTGCGAGGCTCAGTCCTGAGCTTGAGTCTGGAAAGGATCGCGCTGAGGAGTTTCTGAAATACCCCGCGAAGGCAGTGAAAAAGACGCCAATGGCCCTTGAGCCAAAATGGCTACGGAATGATGATCATGATGACGTGATGATGAGGAGGAAGAGGAAGAGGAGGAAGACGAGGAGCAGGCGGAGGAGGAGGGAGGAAGAGGAGGAGGAAAAAGAGGAGGAAGAGGAGGAGGAGGAGGAGGAGGAACAGGACCAGGAGAAGGAGGAAGCCGAACGAGCCGAATGAGACAATGCGGCATGCCCCCTCGCTTGCCGTGAAGGGGGTCGATCCCCCCTCGGCGCCTGCAGCCGCAGACGGCGCCAAGACGTGTCCCCTGGATCCCCGCCTCCGCCCGAGCGCAGGGGAGGCCGAACCCAGGGGCGGCACCGAGGCGGGACCGCCCCCCCCCCCCCGGAGCCCACTCACCCTTCCCTGAGCTGCCCCGCTACGCAACACGCAAAACACGTAGCGTATTGATACGGAGCTCAGCCCGTAGGCCGAAAACGAGGGTCCGATGCGATACGTTCGCAAAAAAACGAGGTCCAACATATGGAGCCAACACGCAGCGCATTGACACGGACGTCTTGAGTACGATACGTGTTGCGTATCGAAACGTGCGCATCGAGGCAGCTAAGACCCTTCCTGCTTCTTCTCCTCAAGCCACGCGCGGCCAGACCACAGAGTCCGGACCACGACCAACTCAGTCTGGCAGATGAGGGGGACAATGCAGAAAGGTTCACAAGCGCCGCCGCGAAGCCCGCCGGACCCCCGACCAACTCCGCGCAAATCGAAAAGCAAAACGAGTTCCAGCCCTTCACCACGTCGGTGGCCTTGCAAGCTGGGGCAGCCTGGATGTCCTGCTTCATTGACTCCCAGGCTTCTGCACACCGCGGTCAGCAAGGGTGGCAACAGGAACGGCCCACAAAGCCATCGCTCCCGCGGGCTGCGCCGCTTCCAATCGCGCCCGCGGAACCCTGGGCGCTGAGCTCCGAAGGGAAGCGGCTAGGAGGAGGAGGGAGGAGGAGGAGGAGGAGGAGGAGGAGGAGGAGGAGGAGGAGGAGGAGGAGGAGAGGAGGAAGAGGAAGAGGATGTGGAGGAGGAGGAGGAGGAGGAGGAGGAGGAGGAGGAGGAGGAGGGGGAGAAGGAGGAGGAGGAGGAGGAGGAGGAGGAGGAGGAGGAGGAGGAGGAGGCAGGCAGCACAACCCGGGCGGGAACCTCGCCAGGAGCGACGCCAGCGGCGCGGACGGCAGCGGCAGCTGCTCCTCCGAGGTGGATCGATCGAGGATCGAGGATTGGGAACCTCCTCGTCCCTGCCTCTGTGCCTCGCTGCCTCACTTCTGCCTCAGCCTCTCCTCCTTCTGCTCCTCCTCCTTCCTTCTCTCCATCCCTGCCTCCCTCCTCCACCCTCCTCATCCTCCCTCATCCTCCCTCCCTCCCTCCCTCCCTCCCTCCCTCGCTCCCCCTCCCCCTTCGTCATTCGCTCCTCCTCCCTCCTCCCTCCTCGGGCGAAATATCTCACAGAGCATCGCCAGCTGGGCGGCAGGGCTGCGTTTTAGGAGGAGGAGGGGGAGGAGGAGGAGGAGGAGGAGGAGGAGGAGGAGGAGGAGGAGGAGGAGGATGAGGAGGAGGAGGAGGAGGAGAAGGAGGAGGAGGCTGAGAAAACGAACGTATGAAGGGGACGTCCTGTCTGATCATCAACCTCGCCCTCCTGTAGGGGGGGGGGGCCGTCGGGCGTCCTGCCTGGTTGTCCAGGAGCAGGATCGCCAAGTGGTCGGCGGCGGTAAGCGGAGCCGCTGTTTAGGAGGAGGAGGAGGAGGAGGAGGAGAAGGAGGAGGAGGAAGGAGGAAGGAGGAGGAGGAGGAGAGGAGGAGGAGGAAGGAGGAGGAGGAGAGAAGGAGGAGGAGGAGGAGGAGGAGGAGGAGGAGTGGAGGAGGAGGAGGGGGAGGAGGAGGAGAGGAGGAGGAGGAGGAGGGGAGAGGAGGGGGAGGAGGAGGAGGGCGGAGGAGCGGGAGGAGGAGGAGGAGGAGGAGGAGGAGGAGGAGGAGGAGGAGGAGGAGGGCGCGCGGCTCGGCGCGGTCCGCTCGCCGAGATGGGCAAGCGGCTGGCAGTGACAGCGCAAGCAGCACCAGCTGCCAGGAAGAGCCGCAGGGCGAAGCTGCGTTACCAGAAAAAACAGAACGTGCCGCAAGGCGAATCAGCTTGTATCGTCATTGCGCGGCCCAACCCATGGGTGGTTCCGTAGGCCCTGGACCTCCTCTAGGCCAATCCCAGACTCCACTCGGTCAAAGCATCTGGGGTCAGGTATCGTTCCATAAGTGGTGGCGTGAGCCTCGCTCCCTGTACGGTGCTCCTGGTTCCTCTTCATGGCATGGGTATGGGCGCACTGCGAATGTCCCAGGCTTGATCTCTTCTTGTGCTCCCTCTTGCACTTTTCGGAGCGGATTCGTGCTACCTAGGTCGCGTAACTTCGCTATTCGCGCTCCACGATGCGCGTGGTGCAATAATCGTCGTGCCCTGGAGGGCTGGAAAGCGGCACCAACACCAACACAAGGGGGTGCCTCCACCGGGGAAAGATTATCCTATATACTGCGGTGCGGGTGATCATAGTTCGGCCACCCAAGAAGCCAGAATCTGACCTCCACTATCGAGATTAAGATCAAGCCCCCCTCGGCGGAGGCAATTGCCGACATTGGTATTCAGATGGTCCTCTAAATTCTGGCTCTGGTGGTCATAGTTCGTCCGCCTAAGAAGCCATACTATTACAACCATTAACGAGATCGGGAGGCTTTGTTTTTCTTAAAAGAAGAAGGTCGAAGAAGAGGGCGGCCGCAACACCTCCCGAGTAACCGTGCACTCTGTGGTCAAAGCGGCCGAGACTCTCGAGTGGCATGACTTGCAGCAGCATCCCGACGTGAAAAAAACACTGGTGAGAAGAGGAGAGCGGAAAAGGAGGAGGAGGAGCAGGAGGAGGAGGAGGAGGAGGACGAGTAAGTATCGAGGTAGAGACAACCGCCAATACTGCGGTGGGTGATTCCCAGACATCTGACGTGCCATTTTTTCAGCGCGGTGAGAGTATTGGACAAGGGACCATGAGATAAGGAACCTAGAATCTGGACGACAGCGGGCACCAGATGAGGCTTGG